GTATTGTAGTCCTGTCATGTAATGTTGTCATTTTAATGTTATATTTAACATTGCCATAAAAGCGGGAGGTCAACAAAACCAGGTTCAACCCACCATTTTTTTCTTAAAATGTCCTGTACCAATCAGGAAAATGGCCATTGTTATATTATAGGTTGTTTCTGTGTGTGTTACATTTTAATGTTGTGTTTCTGTTGTGTCGTAGTTCTCCTCTTATATTTGATGTGTTTCCCTAAGTTTTAGTTTGTAACCCGGATTTGTTTTTTCTCAATCGATTTATGAATTTCGAACAGCGGTATACTGCTGTTGACTTTATTTAAGCTTCTGACTAAAAATCATGTCATCCTGTTAAGTTGTTTCTGAGAAAAGTGAAGAAAGTATTTGTTGGACGAACGGATGGACGGACAAGTTGGTTGCAATATAGCCCCTTTCTTGAGTGAAGTCCGAGACGTCACTGCACACACAAATGCATCTAACCAACTAAGATATGTGCGCTGCATAATATTGAGCCAACGGAACATCACGTCCAAGGAAAGGAAATTTAACCATAAGAAAGAAAAAAAATGGTTAGAATATTACAATGAGAAATTCTAATCAAGATCTAAAGTAAGATATCGGTCACTATAAATATTTGAACTAGTAAAAATACGTTTAGGTAGGTAGATATATTTATGGTAAATTCAGAAAAAAACAATGGATTGTTTTGTACAGGGAAAGATCATCTGAATCAGAGATTTTTTAAAATTGGTGTTTTGTTGGGTATTTTGTGAAGACATTTGTCTGTCGTAAAAGATTGCTTGGCTGTGTTTACACCTCTATATACACACAAGTTTAAGAGAGAAGTACATATATTTACTTCAGAATATGAACGAGACCATAAGGATAATTCAGTTAGAAATCTACTACTTATATGTTAAAAGTTAAGGCAGATGACATGATAGCGTGACAGAGCTTATTGTCAAATTTTTAAAAATGAAATGGCAAATTACATTAACCTACAGTTGATCAACATATACAAGCAGTAGTATCAAACAGAAAGTGGTCAAACAAAAGAAAAGATGAACATCGATAAACTATACTGTCGCCTTTATATACAAGGTTCTTCTTTCGTAACCCCCTCCCTGTTTAGGAATACTTCAAATTTATATTATAGAATCCGTTACCACAAAATACAGTGTATATACGACAAACATTGCACTACACAATTTTAAAAAGAGAATCCATCTAATAAATATTTTTAATTGTCAGAGTAACTGAATGCTACACTTAAAGACCGATCAGTTATGATTGACCGACCATCACACAATGGTTGTTTGTCAAATAACATAATCATTAGAGCAAACTATTTGCATGGAAAGTTTTCAAATCAGTTGACAATGTAATTTGTTCAATCCCCTTTTGCATATTCACATCGTCTCAAAAGAGTAATATTTTTTCTGTACCTGGTATTGACAATTTATTATCAGCTGAGTTATGCATTGATTCCTGTTTTCATTCTCGCATTTTGTCGTCTTTGACTAAATTTGAGATTGTATCCAATACATTGAGGATTTGCCTATTTCTTGATGGTCAGCGAAAAGCACATGGAGTGTAGTTTTATCGGCAGGCTGTTCTCAATAAGTGCTTTACCGGGTATATCTCCAATTTATACGTCCAGTATGTCTATCAACCACATGAAAAAACACTCTGTTGGTGTATGATCGAAAAGTTGCTTCCACTCAATTACCCTAATAGAGTTGATTAAACTTACTTCTATTGAGTGCAGTAGATTTATATATCTTTTATGGAGTTCAGCAATAAGTTACAATTCTCCCTGATGTCATGTTCAATTCGTGGTAATACATATACATGGTGAATTGAACAAGCAGTTCTTGGATTTAGACCATTATACCCATGTATACGCCAGTTTAATTCAGGGAATATAACGAGTCTTCTAAAGAAAATAGTGATTTGGCGGCACACAATTTATATAAGTGTTGTTATGAATTTCTAAGATGTAGGACTGCATGGAGAGCAATGTCACCAAAAAAATAGTGAACGGAATAACCAATACCAGCTAAAAGTTGGAGAAGATACCAATGGGGCAATTAAAAACTACAAGTCGAAGAAACAGACAAATCCAACTGACTTAAACTTGAAGCTTTAAAGAGCCCATGTTGCTTCGCTCACCTGAATTATGTACATCATCAATATTGCTCACTCTGTATCATTGCAGACTAGAATATAATTCATTACCAACATCTCTTTTGTGATGATCGTGTCTTGCAGTCATGAGTAACAGTCATAATTGAAGGGCAATGAATCCTATAAGGATTTGTCTGACAGTTTTGTCCATGTTGATGTATTTAGAGATCTTGTCCTGCTGAATTTTTTTTATATTTCTATTTCACTATCGATCTATTGAAGCTTTCGAGATAAAAAGCAAGTACGCAAAAAAGGTGAAAAAGGTTATTTCAGGCCAGTAACTCTCATAGAGTCAACCAACGATTTCGGCCATCTACACTTTAGATATTAGATCTTAATTGTCTCTTGAGGATTATTTTTGCTCTTCAAAATGTCTCTATATTTATATAAAGCCTCACTTTAATAGGTAAAAAAGAAGGATAAAAAAATCGTCATTAAATGGCAATAACTCCAATAAGGAGCCAACTGAATATTTTGCGTATGTTTAACTATTATGTATATCTTTCTTGCTGTTTAAAGTTGTTTTGTTTTATCTGTTATGGTTTTCAAGATAATAGACAAAAATGGAAAAAGGTAAAATTTCTATCTATAGAGGTATTCAAAATAATTGAATAAACTTTTTATCCCTATGTTCCATTTTAAGGAAAGCCAAGTCGACATTCCGCGCTCTTTTTAGTTCATTAGAGTACACAGACAGCAATATAATCAATTTGAAAATCGGCCTTAAAAGAATTGAGAAAAAAGTTTTAACACCAACTTCACCTTTGAGAGTTTCAATCTTTTTTGGTAAAACTTACATTAATCAAACGACAGGTCATTAAAATGTACATCATTCATATGGCAGATGATGCATGCATATCAGGAGATGCTAAACATATTGATACACCCAATCTTACTCCATTTGGAGTTAAGTGATTCCCTCAGTTGTTGTTTGTTACCTTCGATTGTCTTCCTAATCGATTTATGATATCCGTAAACTACTGCTGCCTTTATTTATGAATAAAAGTAGATCATTGCTAGAACTGAAGTAGAAAGTTCTGGGTCAATGATACCAATTTGGGTTTAACAGCACACCAGTAAAGATATCCATTCAATGGCTGTAGATTATACTCAAACAAAAACTACCATGTTAATAAGGTTTGGAATGCTTTTTTCTAGGGGTTTAAATTTCACCAAGAATTCTCAATATCCAAATATTGGGAAGCCAACATGAATAAAAAGGTGTGGAGCATAATGAGAACCTATTTCAGATTTTAAAAAGAACACTGACAAATACAGTTAAAGTTAAGTTAAATGGGTTATAAAATGAGGGCGATACAACTTTTAAAACAGGCAGGTTTACCTTAAATTTATTGTTCATATAAAACACATCATTGAAAAAACATCAGACATTGTCACAACGATATAGCGGATTCAAAGGAATTAAGGTAAATTTCACATCATAATTGAATTTTGACCTATACAGAACTGAGATCAATGGAACCACTCATTGATTATAAAAAACAATCTACCTTTTGGGAAAAAAGCATTAATAATCAAAGAATAAATGAAAGGACTATATCATGCTTTGTACAAGACTAACATGCTGATCAGTATTTTATAGTGTTGGCTTGCAGGGTATCAGTCAGCAGGAAGTCATGTCACAAACAATCTGGGCACAGTATTCTCACTCTGAGCCAACGAATCTTTAATTGCTCTTATTACTACATGCTGCATGTTTGGTGGAAAAAAATTGAATAAAATGAGATAAGGGGTATATGTCAATAAAACAGTAACAATACCAACTCAAGTCTTTGGAATTTCCCAGCAGTCATCAAACCCATCCATGGGCTCTGAAAATCAAAGATAACATGCTGCATACAGGAGACTACCATAGTAGTTTGGTTACATGTGAAAATGGAGCATATGGCATTGAAACAACCCCACACATTCAACAAAACCTGACACCTGGTGGTCACTGTACAATATCCAATTAGAAAGTTGCAAAATTTTACAGCTGAACTGAGTTAGTTGAAAATAAAATAAGAGTGCACACGCCTGTTTTACTGACCATTGATTTCAAGTTGAAAGTCTAAAAGATAAAGGTTTTACTACAAGTATCACATAAACTAAACACAAAAAATTAACAATGACCAATGAACCACAAAAATGAGGTCAAGGTCAGATGAAACCTGCCAGTCTGACATGTACCCCTTACAATCATTCCATACACCACATATAGTTGACCTGCTGCTTGTAGTATCTGAGTAACGGACCTATCACATAACTTTAACCTTGATCACTGATCCATGAATTGAGGTCAGGTTAACCCTGTCTGACGGACATGTAGACGTTGCAAGGAACCCATATACCAAATATAGTTATCCTATTACTCATAATAAGTGAGAAATTCACATCACAAAGAAACTGTGATTTTTTTTCAAGCAGTCACTGAACCATGAAAATGAGGTCAATGACAATGGGCATATGACAGACGGAAACTTAGCTACATAAGGTATCTGCATATAAGGTATGAAGCATCCAGGTTTTCTACCATCTGAAATATAAAGCTTTATAGAAATAGTTTATGCCGCTGCCAGATAGTATTACCATTGTCTCGCAAACAACTTTTGTCTAGCAAACAACCTATGGAGCTAATGCAATACTGTATCATCAAAATACTTCTTGGTCCAATCCACAAAATTTGGCATCCATGAAATAATATAAGTACAATGTTTACATTGTTAGTATGTTAGTATCAATAAAACAAATATATTAAGAGAAGAAAAAGAAACTTATAAACTGATTGACAATACCTTATACAAAAACAACAATAGATATCAGGATTTGGAAACATTTTATTTACAAACTATTTGGCACTGTTGGATTTATCACTATCCAATGTAATTATCTGGATATAAACTGAAACAAATTATAATTATATTTCTGAGACCATCAATAAAACATATACATTCTATGACAAAATATGATTTAATTACATCTTAATGTCTATTCCATGTATAATTACAATATGTTTGATACTTTCCAACCTTTCTATTGATTTGTTTACCTTTTTTACCAGGTAGCATCCTAGTATTCACTGTTTTACCATCAATATAAAGGCTTGATGAACGCAACAAAAGATTAAAAGAGTTTCAATAGAATTGTTACAGAAACCAGAAATCATTTTTATAAGTTTTATGGACACAGGAACAAATATTGAAAAATCTGATATCCAGCTCCGTAAAAAACTATAATTGTTTTGATTTGTTTTGAAATGAAATGAGCAAAATTGAGTATAACAAGGACACTTAAGCAATGAAGATTGCCAATTGGAATGATTAAGTATAATAATTACAACTTATTTAAATAAAATAGGTACTTATACCAGAAACCAGTTACCTGTAATGCTTTGTTTATGCAAAATCTTAAATGAAGGTTTTTTAATGTGTAATTCTTCTCATTCTTTTATGGCTCTATGGCATTAGGTTCTATTTGTTTTTGTTGTATTGTTGGTCAAATCAGCAACTTGTGTTATTACATATAATTCTTAAATGGTGTTTCACTATCTATTTATGATTGATGGCATGTATGATCCAAAATTATTCAAAGGTCAGTTTTTTATTAATATTGTCACATATGACCTATGCTACTGATTCAATAATGACATTAAGAAACAACCCTGTAACAAAAATAAATATGCTGTTTGCATTCCCCTTACGAACCACAGTCAGGGTCAAACTGAACAGTACCATATGCTCATATTGAAACTCATAGATATAGTATTGAGCTTAAGCTTTAGTTTTAACTTTATTTTAATGAAACACTATTAAGAGCAGTGGAATGCTTCCAATGTTGTTTTGACAATTTTCCTTGTAATCAAAAGTCAAAATTTATAAAAAAAATCAATAAACATAACTTATATTTGACACAATTAGAGATATTAATGAACTATAAGCTTCTGTTTAAATTTTAAAATAAAACAAAAAAAAATATTGATTTTGATCAGTGAAATGCTTAAGGAGCATTTTGTCAATCTCTGTTAATATATTGAGCATAATTCTAAAAATTATAGAATAGGACTTGACTTCATTTTACGTAGTTAATAGCATAAAATAAGAAACATTAGGCAATAACTTTCCAATATAAATGACCAAATCAATTTATTCAGCATTTAGCTACATATAATACATTAAAATTGGAATAACTTGATATCACAGAACAGTATTGGAATGTAACATTTAATGATAATAATCTACAGATGATTAATTACATTAAAAAAAAAAACAGTTAAAAAATGAGAGAAAATATTACAATTTAATTATTAATGTCCTCTTTTTTATTATCACTAGCCCTGCACATGGTGCCACATATAAGAACAAATTGATTTCTGTCACAATCGAATGATATAATGGTAATATGTGTACCTACCAGTGACAAACATTTTTTTCAGTTGAAGCTATCTGTCCCCCTTAACAGCTTGTTACTTATTGATGGCAGACAACATGGACTTTGACATTTGTTCATGCAATTTAAATCTTCTTTTTTCAAATAACATATGTTTTTGAATAAAACAACCACATTTAAATGCATAAAAATTTGGATCACAATTTTATATCAGGCTTCTGCCACTTCACAGCATGTTCTGAAGAGTAGCAACAGATGATGACGTTGATATTGATGTTGGAGTGTTCATCACTATGGCATACTCACCCACAGCCTGAAAACAATAAATAATAATAAAATTTAAACTGCCAAAGCCCTCTATTAAACATAAATATGAGAAAAATGTTAATCATTTTCTGAGGTTTTAGTTAGGTGTATGTGAACTAAAAATCAAAAACATTTGTTAGAAATCATGCAGTTAAATGTTTCTACACATCATGTGGTTTTAATTTTAAAAAACCAACTCAAATTGAGACTTTATCAAATCCTTGAGTGTTTATCAAATATGAGAAAAAGTATCATTTGAATGAATTTTTTGACTGACTAAAAAATCCGATGTAATGTCAATAAGACATATCTTATGAACTTGCAACCTAATTCAATGTAAAGGTGAAGTCAGTACAATTAATTTTTATCATCTTTTATAATTATATTTGAGTATTATCTTTTGTAAACAAGAATTCTGCCTACCAGAACATTGCTCGATTCAAACCAGACATTTCAATTAAATATTTCATCTGATTTTCTTTCACAATATAAAATGACTATAAATACTGAAGACATAGGGCAACAAATTATAATTTAAATATTTATATAAGGCAACTAAGGGCATTATTAGAAGTTACAACATTGGTAACTGAATTCACAGAAAGAATTTTTTTGCAGTATTTTATGAAAAAATATGGACAATCAGAAAGGAATCCATGTTGTGTAAACCAATTTTCTCCCAAGTGGTAAATTTGATTTTTAAATTTTATCAAAAGCTGTTAAAATAGATCAAATGCTCAAAAAACATTTCTGAAGGTAAAGTCACATGAAGCAAACTGTTTCACCTGAACAATGTTGATTAGAATACCAATAACTTTTCATAAGCTCTGAAATTCAAACTGAAATGAAAAATGACCCGTTGTGAAAAAAAAAAACCCAACTGGTTGACATTTGCATAGTAAGGGACGTAATGCTTTAACAAAATCAGCAATTCTTTTTCATACTGGTTAAATTCCTTAAAGTTGTAAGAGGAACTTCTGCCATCTTGGATCATAAAATAGCAGAAATCAATCAGTTTAGATATTTGCTGAAATATGCAAATTTTGAGGCAGGAATGTATTTCATTCATAAGACTTTTCAATTAAGTGAGGAAAATAATGTGATTTTATTCATAAATATGATAGATTTTAAAAATTAAGAATTTTTTTTGATATATTTCCGAAATTTTAAACATATCTTTATACGGCAATATAACTCTGATATTTTGATTTTATCAAGGAATGTACAGTATATTTTTCTAATATGTATTATGGAAAGAAAAAAATATACGGTAACTCATTTTTATCATTTAATATTCTAAAAGCAATTTATAAGAGCTATCTTGTATTTTATTTTAAAGTTCTGTAAATTAGTTTTCTTTCTATTCATATGATAATGCTTTTACCAATGTAACTAATACAAAATGTGCCAATTTTCTCAACCTGTACTTTAAAAAAAAACTCAATGTCATTTTCATTTTTGGAAAAAGCACAGTATTAACTATATTTTGACCAGAAGGAATACATTTGGTTGGTCGTTTGCTTGAAAGAAACATGAGTGTATAATAAATCAAACAAGTTATGAATACCTTATAAATGAGGTTATACTCGTCTTTAGTGTGAACTACACCAGCTCTCTCTTTCCTCATTTTATACACAGTGTTAAGGACATTGACTGACCTCTTGTCCTCAAAAGATCTCATACATATGTCTATAGTAATTAGAGCACCTGTCCTTCCTGTTCCTGGGCTATAAATGTTAAACATATGTTAATATTCAGATGACAAAAAAATAACACATCAAAAATACTAGAGAAGCAATAGATAGTAAAAGTACACAAAATTGATTTGTTTTTATGTGGATTTTATATGCTAAAAAATTTATTACAGATACTAGGTGAGCAACCCAGTATATGATGAGGTAACATCTTCTAGGTTTTTTCACTTCTTCATTTTTAGACTGAATGATCAACCTTTTAGTTCAATTTTTTTTTAGATTCAAAACAAAGATGTAAAAATGTAGAAAAGTAAGAATGATTGATTGCTTTTTGTTTGCTTTATATCCAGTGGCAAATATTTCATACATTATCAGGACAAAATTTGTGCAATCTCGCAAAATCCGAACTCTAAAGTCAAATTTAGACAATAATAATATACCTGCAGTGTACAACAACAGGTGCCCCACTGTCTTCATAGTAAGGTCTGGTATCTAATACAAACTTTACTAAGGAGATAGGTTCTGGTGTACTGTCTGATGGCCAACATGTATACCAGAAGTGACGAACTTCTCGCACTAAATTGTTCTACAAAAAAAGTCAGTATTACAGTTAAATAAAATGAAAACCTATATGATAATAAAAATATGATATGAGACAGGAACCATTGCCAAAGGCTCAATGTGATCATTTGTTTTTATCATTCATTAATCATTTAATTCTTTGTTGAAATAGTATACTAAAACATTAGTGGGGCTACAGTAGGGTAACCCCTCACATCATAAGGTCACATCTAAAAATTGAATCATGTCATCTGTCACTTTTAAGCAAATACACATTTTTAAAGGTCATGGGTACTTTTAAATGAGACGTCAGGTTGCAAGGTCTTCTGCAAACCCCCCCCAAGGTCACAGGTCAGACCATGTTAGAGCCACATTAGGAATAAAATAAAATTTTAATTCTTCGTTGAAATGATGTACTGTTAAACTTTTTGGGACACTGTAAACAAACTATCAAATTTCGCAAAAAAAAGAAAAATAACACAAATATGAATCTGGTGAATCGGTAAAACTTGGATTTTCCCTTATATAAAAACATCAGAAAATAAAAAAAATAAATTGCTGCAATGTCAGCTAGAAAGGACTAAATCTAATGCAAAATAAAGTATCAGCAAAAATAAGGTGTACAGTAATTCAGATCAAACTCACATATATGACATAGAAGTTCTGGGTTTAACTTTCAACAAATGTATACATACTGTATCTTATCTTACTACCAGATTATCACTTGATGTAAAGGGTTATAAGTACTGGTAGTCTATATATAGAACATATAATCTGAGTAATAGTGGACAACCTACCTAAAAAGAATACCAAACAGACCAAAAATATACTACTTCTTATTCTTGTATTGAAGTTTAATTATGCAGTTAAACCAATTCTGATTAGAAACAAGACCAAAAACCATGTCTGGACCTGTGTTGCACTGTGCTGTTTTCAAGAATAGCCTTCAGTGCCATGAAGATTGTAGAAAATATATAAATGTATACCTAGAAACTTTTGAGTAAAGGAATAGAGTAAATACTAAAATAAAAATTTAATAATTTTACAAACATTTCACAATTTTTTTAAGCTACTGGTCCAGTACCAGTTACCGTCAGAAATTCACAGTTTTTCTCAAATAACTTAACAGGAAATACTTTTGGAAATATTCTTTTATCAAGAAAAGGGTTACCAAAAATTAGGTCTAGGACCATAGATTTGGACTTTAATTGCTCTTATATTCAGTGATAAGCAGGGTTTTTGCTTGAAATCTCATTGATATGAGAACCAGTTAACATCACTTATGAATCTAGTTCCTAAATTATAGAAATGTCCTATTAATAAGAAAATTGTTGTCACGTTTTGCTGTTTGAGGCAAACAGAGATGGAGGTTTGTCAAATGAACAAACAATATCGTCATTTCGTCCATAAATTCCGAATCTCTCTGACGTTCACTCAATCTAAACAGATCTCAAATTTATGTCTGGAATTAACAAGTTACACTGCGTTGAAAGGGATCATAGAAATTGATTCTAAAATTAATAAACCTTTTATATTCCTTTGAAGGAAATTTTTTGTCCAAAGTAAGTTTTGATATTACTTTATCTAAAATCGAGGGTGTCATAAAGTTATGACGTCATGTCCCAGCACTTGTATCTTCCAACAACGGGGTAAAAGAAAAAAAAAAATTTCCTAGTCTTGATTGAATCAAACAAAACCAAGTTTTTTAAAATAAAGTATTTTATGAAGATGATAGCAGTATGCTGCATTTACTCAACATGCAATATTTCATTTATGCTATTGCAAACATTTTATAAAGGAAAAGTTTTATGATTGCGAACCTGATGCTCACACATTTTTTGCATGAAGAAAAACATCCCAATAATTTCTGAATTTTTCAGAACTTTAAATAGTTCAAGAACTAAACAGTACAACATATAAGTTTATAACTGTTTAATGAATCTTTCTCTTTTGAATTGTATACATACCTCTATATCTTTGATTTCTAATACTGATACAATGTATTCCTGGTGAACTTCTTTCTTCTTCAGAGTAATAATAAAATCACTATAGGTCAATCTGTTCTCCATACCTGTCTTCTCTGGCCAGTATGGTATACATCTTGGCTGGAAAAAAAACCAGTCTGCATTTGGATATAAGGAATAAGTGAAACAACCTAAGCTATGTATAAGTCTTAAATGTTTTTCAGTACTTTACAATGTCTACAGACCATTCAATTCCTTTAAACCAAGATCATGATGATGTACTGAGAGCCATTATATCCCAGCTCAATGTGGTTGACTATTATTTGCGGTAAGAAAAATGAGACAAAAATTTCCTTTATGTGCATGACATTTAATAGATATGTTTATAGCAAACTAGAAGAACATCAAACTAACTAAAATTTTCACACAGTTTGGCATACCATATATTAACAAGCTATGACAGAGTTGCTGAGAAAAATGTGACAGAAATGTGTTACGGACAGAGGTAAACCAGTATAGACCCTCTTTTTGGAGCAAGGATATAATAAATGAGTAGTCAAATTATCTTTCAAGCAATTTATAATTTACACCTTGAGTCATCAGATAACAATTTTATGTGCGCACAATTTATTCATATTTTGAGTAACCTTAATTGTATTAATGTATGTTGGAAATCAGCCTTCAAAATATATTTTCAATTACTGTGACTTGACTGTAAGTGTTGCTCTCCACCTATTGCAACTTATTCAAAATTCTGACCAAATTGCAATTTGTTTAATAAACCCAAACTGTTCAACTTGTTAGAAATTTGAACAAACTGCTGTAGAAAACCACAGTCAAGTCACGAAAGTGCAATGTGGTAAAATAAAGCATACTTACAATCCTATAAGACTTCAATGATATTATGAAAAATCTGTCTAACAGTTTGTATACAAATTTTATTGTTATTGTCATGCTAGAGGTGATAGTTAGTAGTAATTTTGAATTGCTATAAAAATGTCCAAACTAAGCTTTCATACAATTTTTCTTTCGAAAAGTCTTCTATATTCATATGAATCAGACACCATTTTAATAAAAACATCTTAATATTCAGTAAAATATATGTGAAATTACAATACATTGTTTATAAGTTTCCATGGGAGATAACCTTAAATTATTATTCATTTGAATATAGAAGACTTTTTGAAAGAAAAATTGATTATCTCCCATGTAAACTTATACACAACGTATTTTAATTTCACATATATTTTACTGAATATAAGATGTTTTAATTCAAATGATGTCTGATTCTTATGAATGCAGAAGACATTTGGAGAGAAAAAATTGAATGAAAGCTTAGTTTGGACATTTTTATAGCAATTCAAAATTACTATCTATCACCTCTAGCATGACAATAACAATAAAATTTGTATACAACCTATTAGACAGATTTTTCATAATATCTTTGAAGTGGAATTAAAGTCTTGTAGGATTGTAAGTATGCTTTATTTTATCACATTGCACTTTCACGACTTCACAGTGGTTTTCTACAGCAGTTTGTTCAAATTTCTGACCAGTTGAACAGTTTGGGTTTATAAAACAAATTGCAATTTGGTCAGAATTTTGAATAAGTTGCAACTGGTGGAGAGCAACACTTACAGTCAAGTCACAGTAAGTGAACCAGTATTACAGTTAAGTTACAGATTATAACCCAATAGAGTGAGGCCTTGTAACTATAACTTCAACTTACTGTAAATTCAAAAATTATTGTGTGCATTTATTATTGCGATTTTATAAGAAATTACAAAAATACAAGATCTATTAAAGCGATTTCAGGAAATCTGCATACAGGTATATGTATCAGATATCAGAATATGAATAGCAATACTCAACAAGTTGCATTATAAAAACTTTGCGATAACTTCTGAATTTACAGTGTTATACCTGTCCTCTCTCATCCATATCAGTTAACATCAGTATGACCCTTGATTGCTGTTCCCACACCATTCTCCAGAAATCACCAGCTGTACTAGACAATGGTGCCTGTGTGGCTATGTAAGCTCTTAAATCTTCTTTATACCCCTATATAAAAATTACAATCTGTTTAAACACTTGTTTAGATTCTACTGGTTGGGTTCAAATTATATACTTCAATAGTGTAAAAAAATCATTTTATTTATTTTCAGCTAGTGCAAGTAAGGCCTTTAAGCATGGCCATTGTTCTATGGACAACCTAAAATCTGTGACTTGAAGCTTGCAGTTTTCATTAAGGACTAGAGTGTCATATTGGTATAGACCTGAACTAAAGGATAGTGATAAGAGCCATCACAGAGGGCCCTGCTGCTTGTAAATAAGTAAATTTGTGACGAAAAGTTAGAATTAGTCAGGGTTATTCCATTTAGTCTTACCAATTTTTAAAACTTGAATAATTGCATCTTTGAATAATTAACAAAACAGTGTAAATAAAATCATCATAGGTACAAGGATTAAAATTTTGCACACCAGACATGCATTTTGTCTACAAAATACTCATCAGTGATGCTTTAATCAAAAAAAGAAAAAATCCAAATAAAGTACGAAGTTAAAGAGCATTGAGGACCCAAAATTCTGAAAAAAGTGGATTGATTTGCAGTTATAAATAGTTTTATTATCTCTCCTGACAAAATCAAGATTCTTTGATTCATGAACTCAGGTTAATAAAAAAATATCTTTGAAAATCAAATAAAATGTTTATACAAGTGAAGAACCAAGAATAATGAACTTTTGATTTTGTCTTAATATTCACAAATTTAAAAAATATATTATAAAATTTACATAATATATTATTAAAGCAACAATACTAAGATTTCAGCCACCAGATGGGGTGAAATGGATGCTGAGTTTAACAGTATCGATCTACCGTAAGTTATACTTTTCAAGCTGTATTTAGTTTAACATCATATTATTATTATTTTATGGTTTGTTTTATATTGGCTTGTATTCTTACATGTCATAAGTTTTATTATCTATATAGCATCAATACATTTTCTGATTTTAGCTGGTAAAAGTAATTGCAACCAATTTGCTGTACAACTTTTACCGAATTAGAAACTTCAAATAAAACTCTAATCACAATTAAAAGATGTAGTTTTGGCCTAGAATATTTGAGGATTTTCTGTTAACCATTTGAAGTCAATTTCTCTCTAAATATTAATCCTTACCGTTATGTAGTTGGCATTGATATAATCTGAGAAATCTTCACCTGGAATCTTCTGTAACTTTACTCTGGAATGTGGAACTGTATACAAAGAAAAGGAGTAGCTACACAATGTAATCTGATATGAGTATGAAACTAAAGTCCCTAAAATTCATTATTAGTCTATAGTGCATCAGACACACAAGATTCTATTATCAATTTGGTATGTAAGCTTATAGCAACCTTACTATTAGTCATATACATATGTTGGTTATTTTTTAAGAACTTCATCCTGTCAACCCTAGACAGACTTTTTTTTTAAACATGATTTTATCATAAGACTTGCCTTTATACATAAACATTGCTATCTTGACATATATGTTATTACTGTTATAATATAATTCTATGTGTGATTTAATATAATAAATTAAATGAATTAAATAAAAAGAAGCAATATCAGAGATTGAATTTGAATATAGATTCTACCACTGCATCAAATGTCATACGATATTTATCCACTCAAGACAGTTAAATTTTCAAATTTAAAATGTGAGGCTCGTCGAGCATTTTAAATATTTATAATTCAACTGTCAAGAGTGGATAAATATCATATTGCATAAGATTTGGTGGTGGAATCTGTTTCTCTAATGATTTTTAGACATATATAGACAATTCTAATCCTTCTTTTTGAATGAATTGCAAAAAGATGTGTTCTTTTTATGTGATGTCAACAGGCATGGTTGCCTTTTTTTCATGACGTCATAATAGGAGATTCAGAGGAAAGCAAGAAAAAATTTAAAATCATACTCGAATTTTGACCAATTAAGAACTGAGATGAAACAAGCCACACGTTGATTAAATAAAAATAATCAACAGGTCAGGAAAAGGATAAATCAGCAAGGAATTAGAGAAATATATTTACACACAATGTTTTTCAATGTATAAAGTTGATGACATTGCAGACATAAACTTACATGGAAGTACATTGGCAAATCTATTTTTATCTTCTGCTCCAACTGGCACACATGACAGTCTAGGTGTTTCATTTGGAATCAACTATTTATAAATAAAAAGGCAAACGACATGAAAAACATATCAAAATTAACATTTAATTCCATGAGATAAAAAGTAAGATTATGAAACACAACCAAAATATAAAAAAATAAAAACTTTTAAATTCAATAAGCAATAAGGGGAGATAATTTGTCATAGAATCCAAGTTTAAGTTTTTTTGATGGACACAACATGTGTTGTTTCATATATCAAATTAAAATAGGATTAACTTAAAGAAAAAAAAACTCCATTAAAAGTGTCATTCAAAGATGCAATTATTCAATTTTTTTCAGTTATCTGTTGTTTTACTTTTGATATTCAAATTTCTGTAAATCTTTAACAAATAGTATGAAGATACATTTAACAATTATAAGTGCCTGGTTAATTACAAATAATGTTTATTTCACATGAATTATGCACTTTTGACATTTACTACCTGAAATTCTTGACAGATAGCATCAGTCTCCAAGGAAAAATCTGTCAGTGTTGAATACATTAGTGGATGAGATGGATCATTACAGTTCTCCTGAAAAGTAAACAAAAATTTAAATTAAATTCACTGCTTCAGAATTTAATGCATTTTGGGTAATATTTTTTAATTATTATTATTCTACATAAGGAAATGCCTGTACCAAGTCAGGAATATGACAGTTGTTTTCCATTAGTTTAATGTGTTTGAGCTTTTGATTTTGCCATTTGATAAAGGACTTTCTGTTTTGAATTTTCCTTGGAGTTCGGTATTTTTGTTATTTTACTTTTTTTTTCAAAAGCTTACACCATTAAAACATTGACTGCCTTCTATCAATATTCCACCTCTGACATTTTATTGATTTAATTACTTTCAAACTTTTTTACTTCATGTTCATGCTTTCTATAGTTTTGTTATCACTAAATGAAGTAAAGTGATCATCCCCTGTGTTTATAATGATAACTAAAATATATTTACATCACTGATATCTAAACCTGGATTCCAGAGTCCACTGTTGGGTCGAGACTTGGATACAACCCCCAAAGCTATTGAGTTCAAACTCCTGGTAGATAATCGGCTGGAACAACTACCACTCCCAGGGAAGTAGGGGTGCATTCTTTTTCCTGTTCTCTTGTGAATTATCAACTGTAAAGCAGATTCTAAATACTTTGTAAATATAGACAAACTAATCCAAGAATTGTATATGGAATAATATTCCAAAAGTGTCTGACCAACACATTACTTCATACATACATCTATTGCATGAGTAGGTCAATATTTTTGATATTTGAATTCTTGGTTAATTTATTCTTTTTATTACATTGACTTTACATATAATCAAATTAAGAAATAATTCTTTCAAACCATGTTTTATGCTCATTTTAACATGGTTAGGCATTATATTTGTCAATATCTTTACACCGAGCTTTAGCAGGATGTAAAGATATTGACAAATATAATGCCTACCCATGTTAAAATGAGCATAGAGTATGGCATGATAGAATTATTTGAATTCTAATAGGAAATTTTTTTTAGATTTTGTACCTGGAGGCTGACCTTTTACACATGTTTGAAAGGCAGCCATTTTAAATTAATGAAGCCAAAACGTAATAAAAAAAGAAATAAACCATATAAGATAAAATAAATTGCTTCGCCGAGCGCAGCTGGATACGACTGCAGAGGTCCAACCCTGAGCAGTTAAGGCAAAAAATTAAATGTTTGACACATAATAGGTTTCTGACACAGAATAACTGTAGTCAAAGAACTTAGAATTGGTTATATGATTTGAATTTATATTCAATTTTTTTGCTTTTGTGCAATTCACTATGCTGTTGCGAATTGCCCCCCCCCCCCCCCCCCCCCCCCCCCAAAAAAAAAAATTTACCCCCCCTTTCTTTTTAATTTCTAAAATCTGTAATGAGAAAAAAAGAATTGTTCCTCCGCCCCCCCCATTTTTTTTCACCTCCCCTCCCCCTCCCCTTTTCCAATCAAAAAATCTTTCCCTCAAGATATGGTCATTATCTCAATTCAAAAATGATTAGATACGAGATTTGATGAGCTGGGGGCATTATCAGTTTATTGATTTATCAGATCGGCATCATTATTACTGTAATCAGATTATTTATAAAAAGTGATTGATTACACTGACAGATTAAAACAGACTATTTTGACCGTTATATGGTAATTAATCTTAATTAAAAAAATGGACAGATTCATGCTGTGATGTTCACTTAGCAGATATATTCAACAAGTTACGGGTGCTATTTCATTACCATATCTTAGGTCATAAAAATAAAAGTCAATCAACACCTAGGCCATATGGTATCATGAAGTTTTACCTTAAACTATGTATCTCAACAGGCGACAGTTGGACAAAATTAATATACCCTTAATAATTATAATCATGTTCTGACAGTTACCGTTAAAACATATGTTCAAAATACTAGCTCTGATTGCATGCGTCAGAGACATATAACATTGTATTATATGTCTCTGCATGCGTGTATTAAATTTACATAAAGGTATCGAGCTTAATTCAAATGCATCAGATATTGACAATTTTGAAAGGAGGGGGATCTGGGTCGTTCAGCATTTTATCTTGTCTTATCGTGAAGCATACATAATATAGTATGCAGAATATCTAGTTAATTTCAATGAGATTTTATAAGATCTTAAACAGAATAAAAGATACTTTATATATTTTTTTATATCTTCAGAAAGTAAATTTTCACACATATATATAGTTTGGCATTTGATTACATACTTTTAATGAACAGATCTGTTGTATATTTATTTTTGTGTCAGAAAATTCACGTTAATAGGTAGAAAAATGATAATAAATGTGAAAAAAAATATTGTTATAATACAATTAATTTAGAAAAAAGTACCCCCCTTAGACAAAAAAAAAAACAAAATACAATGATAGTCGTCTTGTCGAAAGCAAGGAGATCTTCAAGATTTATGAGTGAAATAACTGCCTACTTGGATCTTTTGACATACATCCCTTTTTTTGTCAAGCTTGAGAAATTTATTTCGCGAAAGCGAGACTTGGCGATCCTATATTCCGTCGTCAGCGTTAACGCCGGCTGCGTCAGCATTTAGGTTCAGTCTGTGGTTAAAGTTTTGTTTTACATCAAAATCTTTGTCAAACATAATGGAATTTCGGGAAATTGGGACAGAAGCTTCATGACCAAAATACAGTATCCAGGACAAAATTTTGCAAATATTTATTTTCATTTTTCTGTATTTTATAACTAAATGGACTTCGCTTTTCCTTAACAGTTAAATTCAGGTTTTGTCTCAGGTTAAAGTTTTTCATGCAGTCATCAATGACCGTTTTGTTTAATCATCCAGTTGCAAGTTAAATGCATATCCATGCAGGTCAAGATCATGATAATGATATATGAATGTTAAAACTGTTTTGTTCTACATTGCGCTGGACTTTTCACTTGTTTCTTCAAAATGCAACAGTCCGAGTAAAGACATTGTATAGCTTATTAGTGGGTGTGGCTTTTTTGCTAAGAGTTTAATTCCATACGACAAACTGTACATAGCTGCTTGTTTTTATGGGAATTTTTTTATTATGGGTTGAACAAGGAACGTATGTACTATTCCAAGGTTTAACGATCAGACTATTTATACAATATTGAAAACATAACATTTATGAAGCCATGGTTATAGTTTATTGAATACTTCGCATAATATCATTCATTATATCGACTAGCTTTGTGCTATGACAAGAAACAACTTTTCAAAAAGCTCCGTATTACATGACAATCACATGGTTTAAATTGTTTATCTATATCCGACCGACACAAGCCAAAGAGAATAAATTATGTGTCACCGTTGAATGATATACTGTTTTTGGCAATAAATGCCATTACGTCAGCATGTATCAGGAAATTATTCTCCATCTCCAAAGATGATATTTCTGCACATAAACTTCCTCGAAGTTCTTGGAAGCTTCCAGGGACTTGTAGGCCCTCGTTCCTTCTTTATCAAACATTTTGTTTTGGTTATTTGCAAGGTTAATTTCAAGTTTCCTTTAATTTTCTTTCCCAATTTTCTCCGTAATTTTCAAACACTAGGTCTCGAAATTCTACACAATATTTTTTTTTTACTTTATTAAACATAAACATAAACCAAAAAACAGATGACACTCAACGACTTCACAGGTAAACGGGAAAGCGGCTGGCATCCTTTACATCGAATATTAATTTGAACCAAATGACTTTGCCCCCAGTTCATCCAAATCTTGCATATTCTCGCATGAATTTTAATTAAACGCTTTACCCACTCAGAACTCTAGGTCACGAACAAGCTTTCCCTGAACTAGAGTATTACCCATTTAAATACATCATAAAAGTCTTAAAATAGAAAATGACATACATAATCATGTCTAAAAATAATATATCTTTAATCAGCATTTTTATTAGTAACTTCTAAAAATAAATTGACAGCTAATCACCTCAAGACAATACAAAATTTCTTTATACATAATTTTAAAGCAGTGTAAGGGAGGTAATCCAAATTTAACATTGTACTTAAAAGTGATTGTCCATTAACAAGGAAACCCTTGTTTTTCCCCCTTTTTTGCCCCTAATTCCTTAACGGTTTGAGCCATTACCCCAAAGCCAATCCTAACCATCCCTTTGTGGTATTGAAACTTGTTGTACAATTTCAGAGAGATCCATACACCGTTCCACAAGTTATTCTCTGAAAACTAGAAAAATGCTTATTTGGGCCCCTTTTTTGGCCCCTAATTCCAAAACTGTTAGGACCATAACCCCATAAATCAATCACAACCTTCCTTTTGTGGTTATAAACCTTGTGTATAAATTTCATAGATTTCATAGATTTCTATTTACTAATACTAAAGTTATTGTCCGGAAACCAAGTGTCTTCAGACGACGACGACGATACCGATATACGACCACAAAATTTTTTGCAGTCGTATAAAAAAATGAACAGATACATGTTGACTTACTTTAAGAATGATATTATTTAATTTCCTAGCAAATAACACCAACACAAATGTCAATTTTGATCTCCAGCGTTGTTTAAAAAACATCTGCCACAGCAATTTCAATTGTGACATCAATCACTTTCAGCCCATGTTCTATTGGATATAAGAACATGGCTTTGTTTTCCAAAGCAAAGAAGAACATCACATAAGAATAGAAAATGCATGGAATTTATCTTTCTCAAAGATTTCTCTCTTCTTTTTGATGCAATTTCTTTGTCGTTGACAACACCTATTGTTGTATGACTTCAGAGGAGTAAAATACAAGTTCTTTTTCACATGTGAAGTATTGGTGTTACTTTAACTGAGAAATCATGGTATTTAAATGAAACATATGAAATAGCTTATTTCTACTTTATATTTTTTTTTATATTGAATCCAAGCTGATAATACTTAAAACTAAACATAGTTTTAAATATCACATTCTCCATTGATCTAGGGAAAAAAACCATCTGTATCTGTAGGTAAATTTTTTTCAAAGTTATAATATGGAGTTCTATTCATGAAACCATACCTGCAAAATCAATAGAGCCACACAACAGAAGCCACCTACAGCTGCGATGGAAATGGCTATTGTAATACCAGTTTCTATTTCCTCGTCTATCTTTGAAGCACTCTGTCCATTTGTAGGATGCATTTCATCTATGTTTGGTTCATTCACAATCTTTACACTCTCAAGCTATAAATTACAACAATAGTTTTATGAAACATAATTTTCTCTGATTCTTCACTCATTACTGTCACCAAAATTCTAAAGAATTCTCTAATTTTTTTAAGCGACTTTGTGAAAAAGTTCATTATGCTGGATGTAATAATTTTTTCATCCACCAGAAAATCACTTCGGATGTCTATAGGAGCAGAAACTGCCCACCTTCCTGTAGAACCTCAGTTTTCTTTTTAGGGTTGGTGCAGCTCTAGTTTTCTGTGTAGTATTTTATGGAATGTCTTTTCATAGTTTTTCTATTAGTCATGGCTTTGTGTTTTTTCTTCCACTTATGGTTTTTAATTGAGCCCTTGGTATCTTTTCAAGTAGAGTGGTAAACTCTATATATCAAAGGATGATATAAATTACAACAAATATGTCACTGATATTTCTTTTAAAGTAGATTTTCTTAAATTATCCTGAAAGAGAGTTTTTGTAAAAAAAATGTTAATGTACTTATTTTCAAGAAATATGAAAACACTAATCTCATTATTGTCTCGCTTTGAAGGAGTCAAAAGCGAGACATAGGTATGCTGTTTTACGGTGTCGGCAGCGTCAACAATGTATTAGTTTGTGATTAGGTCAGTTTGTGGAAAACCACTAGTGGTAGGTCAATGATATTTGGTATTCAGTTGAATTAGCATTGGCACATCTCATTTCCATGGAGATTATTTGGCCTCCTCCTCCTCCTCAGTCATGGTCTATTGACTTTGAAACTTTTGCTTAGTTGACATGTATTAGTTTGTGATTAGGACTACTGACTTTGAATATTTTGCATAACTTACATGTTAAAATATTGCTATTTTAATTTCAACATTTGCATTTTACTATCAAAATAACAAAAAGGCGAGACATATGTCTGTGTCAACAGTTTATTATTTGATATATATCATATTTGAAATTGATTCTTGTCAAACAAACAAAAAATCATTAAATAGTCATTATGATGGTGACTGTTTGCATCATCACTTTCAGTTTTTTTTTTTTTTATTTAATTTTTCTTTATACTTCTGAAAATAGTTCAAAACAGGTTGGTTTCTACTCAAGTAATTATCTCCTCCTGAATTGAAACATATGAACAAAAGTTATCTCCCCTGTCCAACTAACCTATTATTTTATTCAAGCATAGGGCTATCATTCTTACAAATTTCTAAAATATATCATTTAGTTTATGTTTAGGTGTTGTAAGCAACTGCAATATATTTATAAGAAACCAACTAATAGAATAAGCAACATAACTTATGGTGTTTTAATAGCTTTCTTGGTATCTATTCCAGTGGAGTGTTAAAATCTATATTTCTCTGTAAGGAGATATACATAACAACAAATATGATACTGATATTACTTTGAAAACAGATTTAAAAAAAGTTATCCTGAAAGAGGTCAATATACTTATTACCAAGGAACATGAGAAAGCTACTCTCATATACAGTATGTGTAACTAGAGAGAGGTGATTCTTATAAATAAATCACATTTTCTCTTCTAGGACTTGAACCCGTGACCTATGTATTACAAGTCAGCGCTCTAACGAACTGAGCTAAAGAAGTACTTCCCTAGCTCAACTGCTTATGGATGGCTAATTATCTACTTTTGAAGGGAAGCATTTCCTTCACACATGTAAAGAAATCATTCTTGTCCAAAGAAATAAAAAAATATTTCTATAAGGTTTTATGATGGTGATTGTTAACATTATCACTTTCAAGAATAAAAATGAAAAATAGTTTTTTTTATCATTTTCTTTATATTTCTGAAAATAATGTAAAAACAAATTGGTTTCCTCTAAAGTAATTATCTTCTCCTGAATCAAAACATGTGAGCAAGAGTTATATCCCCTGGCCTTTTAACTTATTCTTTCATTCAAGCATAGGTCTATTATTCAAATATATCTTATAGAATATGTTAAGCTGTTGTAAGCAACTGTAATATCTTTTTAAATTCTAAAAACATACAAGAAAACCAACTTATAGAATAAGCAACATAACAAAATGGTGGCCAGTTGGTAGCAAGCATATACTCTGACAGTTTTTTCATCAATATGAAATATTAATTGGATCTACAGAACAGATAGACACATGTGCTTCACCCAACAATTATTATAAGCTTAATAAGCATTTTAAGAACCTTATTATTCTTGACTATAAGTTGTACTTTTTTATAATATTATTATCAACTTTCCATTTAAGCATTCTCTTCACAATAATTTAACATTTCTTTAAATGATATATAAGTTTAATCAATACTTACCTTTTTCCCATATAATTCTGATGACTTCAGTCCAGGTTTGATATTTTTGGCCATATCAATGGTCAGACTTCTATCTAGTTTTCCCGTAATATCTAAGACATATATCTGTATCTCCACCTCCTCCTTAGGATTATCCCAAGGCTGGTCACAATCATCTGCTATAGGGTACTGTAACTTTATTTGTTCCTGACTAATCTTAGATTTCTGAGTATTGTACATTATATTTGCTAGTTGTGACACAAAATTCTGCTGTAGTTCACAGAATTCATACAGAGTCATTTTCATGTCTATATTTATATATATTGATGATGTAGGTCTGTCTTTGTTCTTTGATGGTGTAACAGTATGTTGGTTAGATGTCACCGTAGGAGTAAAAGAAGCAGTATGTTGGTTAGATGTAGGAGTAACAGATTCTGGTAAGTGAACCTCTGTTGATATAGTAGATATTCCTGTAGAACCAATGTAAGAAGTTGTTGGTCTGTATTGAGAACTAGTCAGTACATTTGTTGACTCACTTGCTATAGACTTCTTGTGGTTTGATTTGGAGGAAACTTCAAAGACTTCTGGTATTGAGGTTGTGATCATGTCTGGTAATGTAGTCTCAGTGCTGGATAAGATTGACGATATTATTTTTATACCCTGTAAAGTATTAAAGTCAGATGAGTACAATTCAGTATAAGATGGTAAACTTGTTGAAACAGTTCCTGTAATTTCCTGTATAATATCCTTTGTTGAACTTAAAACAGATAAAACATTCATTGATGATACAAGATGTGGAGAAATAGAAATGCAATCAAAACAGTCTATACTAAAATATTGACTCGTGTATGACCCAGTTTGCTGTTGACTTATAGAAGGTGTAGACATTTCAGATGAAGATACAATAAAACTTGATTGCAGTTTTACTTCAGGTACTGATATCTCTGGAGATGTGGATGATTTCTCTGTAGAACTTGGTGCTATTATGTAGGAACTTTCAGAAGATATACTCTGAGGTAATTTGCTAACTCTAATTGTTCCAGTAGGAGTTATGGATGGTGAAACAAGTGTTTCATTAAAACTTGACTCTGTAGTACCATGGGTAGGCTCTGTTTGGCTGTGTATACTAACACCTGAATGTCTGTGTTGAGGTCCTTCAGTTAACTTAGATACTGGTTTTCTAGTGGTAGTATGGGTCATTCCCTCCCCATCGTGGGGTAATAAATGCTCTCCTTCAGTGATTTCAGGCTCTATTTTTCTTGTGGTAATTTTATTACTGGATGTAGTGAACTCATCAGGGAATGGATTCTTCTTTACAGTTACCTTTGGTGTCATCTTCTTAGTTGTTTTCATAATGACTGGCCCTTCATGATTAGGTATGATTTTTGTACTTCCAGTAGCCACCCTGATAGTTGTTCCAGTGTTTACTAAAGGTGTACTGTAAGATGATGATGTGTGCATGGAATCCCCATGTTGCCCCTCAGTAATCTCAGGTATCTCAGTTGTAACTAATTCTCTTTCTGATACCTCTGGTTCTGGTTTTTGTGTTGTTTTAAATATCTCTGATTCATTATGAGGAAATAAATGTTCTGTTTCAGTTATTTCATTTCTTCTTGTTGTGGTCCTAGATATGATCTGTCTGTGTTGAGGTCCTTCAGTTAACTTAGATACTGGTTTTCTAGTGGTGGTTTGGAACATTCCCTCACCATCATGGGGTAACAAATGTTCTCCTTCAGTAATTTCAGGCTCCATTTTCCTTGTGGTAGTTCTGAACATTCCCTCACCATCATGGGGTAATAAATGCTCTCCCTCTGTAATTTCAGGCTCTATTTTTCTTGTGGTTGTTCTGAACATTCCCTCACCATCATGGGGTAATAAATGCTCTCCCTCTGTGATTTCAGGCTCCATTTTCCTTGTGGTAGTTCTGAACATTCCCTCACCATCATGGGGTAATAAATGCTCTCCTTCAGTGAGTTCAGGCTCTATTTTTCTGGTGGTAGTTCTGAACAATCCTTCCCAATGTCCTCCTTCAGTTATCTCTGGTCCTATTTTCCTAGTTGTTGTCCTTAACATATCATGGCCATGTTGATGAGGTAAGACCTCCTCCTCAGTTACAGTAGGTAAATGTCTTCTAGTTTCTGTAGTATGTGAACTATGTTCCCCTTTATGTTCATCAGGTATGATCAGACCACCTTCCTCTGTAATGTCAGTGTGTTTAGTAACAACTACAACATGACCTTCATGTCTCACATTTTCAGTTGAGATCTCAAAATGAGGCTCTTCTATATGTTCCTTTCTGTCTGGTTTAAGTACTGGTTCCTTGTCATGACTTTCTGGTAACTGTCTTACAGATTCATGTTCTGTAGTAACAGGAAAATCAATTCCATGCTGAATAATTCCAGACATTTTCCCTCTGTTGTTACCATTTTCTCCACTTTGACCATTTTCCACATGATGACCATTTTCTCCATGCTGTCTATTCTCTATACTATGACCACTTTCTCCTAGATGATTATTATCTGTACCATGACCATTCTGATCACTGTCTGAGAGCCAGTTTTCTTCCCCACCATTCATATCAGGCAGATCTCTGACTGATTCAGTGTAGTCTTGTACAAATGGATCATACAACATATCAGTAATCTCAGAACCATGTCTAAAATAATGCTCATCTAACTCTGGTGCTTTAAGTTCTGATTCAGTCCCATGGTCACTACCCTGCTCTGTAACATTAACAGACCTATCATGATGAACATGTGAATCCTCTGTATTTGGTACCATTTGACCATCTATTCCCGGTGCCATCTTGTGTCCATCTGGAGGCAGGTGATGACGATCTAGTTCTAAGTTTTCATCTCTATCGTTAGATATATGAAACACTTGCTCATTTCCATTAACAATTTGTTCATTGTTCCCATGCTGCCTTGACTTATCATTCAGGTGTATATCATGTGTTATATTAAGAATTTGTTCTTCAGTGTTATTGTTAAGACTAACAGCATTGTTTTCATCAGCATGATGTCCTCTTTTTTGAACTACAAATTGGTCATTGTCTATTCCACTTGCAGTTAGTATTCCATGGGCATTGTCTTCATGATGAACACCAGTAATGTCGGATATGACTTCCTTTCCTTCACTATCTAGTCCGTTATTATGATTGATGTGAAGTGAGTCCTTACTGTCTATGATAATTGGGACTCCTGTTCCGTACTGCCAACCTCCAAGACCTAAAATATCAACAAAAGTCTTCTAAAGTTTCAAACATTAAAACATGTTAACTGATTACTTGTTCATACTCAGTATTCTTTTTGTGCAAGTTGGAAAATTTAAATTTATGCAAATTTTTTTGTCATAATAAGAATGAATAATTTTTTAGAAAAAAGACATTCTTCTTTCTATTTATTATCATAAATATGATACATTGCAATAATGGCAACTTTTAGTACTAAATTGAAATTTTAGCCAGAAATATGGAGCATTATCAAAGCTACTCTTTTATAACTGAATGAAGTTATCTCCCTTGGGAAATACTATAGGTCAATGGAAATGCAGAGAATCAGTAGGATGTCAATAAATAATCCAATATTAATTATATTACTGCAGATTATAAACAAGAATGTTTCATTACTCAAAAGGTGATTTAAACAAGGGATTTAAAGCAGCTTGAGTCTTTGCCAAAACCAATATTCACTCTCAAGCAAGGGAAATAACTAGCTTGAAATGATGCTTTTAGAGTCTGATTATTTTGGAATTGAGTTTCAGGGGAGGACACTGGAAGTATAATAACAAAAAAGAATAGGTACTAAATTGTTGAATGGATTTTCCAGATGACATCCTAGTTTCATCACTTGAGTACTTACAAAGTACAACTAAAAGGAAACTGATGCTTGACATCACTTAGTCCAAATTATGTGGTCTGTGGGTAAATACTGCCATCCTCTGAGGTTAAACAACACTTCTAGGAGTAGGTTCTTTATATCTAGTTCATTGTTAATCATTCAATCTGCAAAATATAGAAATCTTTTCAATGAAAAAATGCAACTGTGATCCTGATCTTTTCTCATTAATACACAGCAGAGTAAGTAAAAATAACGAGGTCCAATTTGTTAGCCGGCATGACATAAAAACAAAGAATCAAAGAATCCAACTATATATATAACTTATATAGGACAATGGTGTTGATTAAAAATTACAATATTCCAGGCCCTTTTTTTTCCACATAATTAATATTACCAATAGTGAACAAGTTCCGGGTCGAATCCGATACCGATACCAATTTTTCTTACTTTTCTTTCTTTGTAGTAAATTCTTCTACTATCTGGAGCAACACAGAATATCTGTGTAACAGAGCAACGGATTTAAAAATATGTGTATAATAAAACTTCTTCTGCATGTGTGGGCCTAAGTTTATATCTTCACAACTACACAGAAGAATATAGTCTATACAGCAACACAGTTATATACACATTAACCAACTACTTATAAGAAAACGTAATGTACAGCATTCTTAATCTAAAAGTCTACTATTTGTTTTAAAACAGTATATGTCACATGTAGTTTCCCGTTGTAGTAAGAAAACCAGGAAAGTTTCAAACAGAAAAATTTTGAATGCAGAGAAAACTGTACCTTATAATCAGCATGACTTTATCAGATGACAATACGAATACTAAAAATCCAATTTGTTAGTCTGCATGACGTAAAAACGACTAATCAATGAATTCAACTTTATATATAACTAATATAGGACAATGGTGTTGATTAAAAATTACACCATTCCAGGCCCTTTTGTTTTCCACATAATTAATATTACCATTGTGTTAAATTTTCTTAATAACCTTTATCTTGAGAGATGAGAAGTACCAAGGCTTTTAATACCAAAGATAACAGGCAACATCTGAGAAAGGGTTCTTTATTAAATTGGTGTAATCACACAAGCTTTACACACTGGTAAATTCAAGGAAAGTAAAGATTGTGACTTCATTTCAGACATTCTCGGTAAAATTTCAAGAAAGGCATAAACATAAATAAATTAAAGGCCAAAACTTTCCTTCCTTCGATGTCTGATAAATCACTGAAGCAAATGACAGGTGAACTTTATCTGATGCACATGTATGCTAGGTGACCCAATACAATCATTCTTCACAGCAAATAACCTATTACTCATAGAAGATCAAGTCCTCAGAATAACCTATTACTCATAGAAGATGAAGTCCTCAGAATAACCTATTACTCATAGAAGATAAAGTCCTCAGAATAACCTATTACTCATAGAAGAAGTCCTCAGAATAACCTATTACTCATAGAAGATGAAGTCCTTAGAATAACCTATTACTCATAGAAGATGAAGTCCTTAGAATAACCTATTACTCATAGAAGATCAAGTCCTCAGAATAACCTATTACTCATAGAAGATAAGTCCTCAGAAGTAATTTCACCATAAAAGTATAACCAAATACATTCTCTTTTTGAATGAAATAAAAGATAACAGCTTGAAGCCTATCATAAATATTGGTGACTCAGGACAAAGTATATTAATGAAATTTGCATACCTAGTATCATGGCCTTTGATGGGACATGTTTTGAAATGATTTGAAATGTTTTTGAAATATATATGTGCTTTTTTGTAGACATTAAGCTTTGTGGTGGTTAAATAAAGCTGAAGTAATAAGGTACACATGGTGATTTGTTATAAAACAGTTTTTTAATATTTTTATCAAATATTAGAAAAAGACTTGCAGTGCTTGCATAAATACTTGCATGTAAAATATAAGCATCCTTTCCTAGCATTTTTATATACATGCAGTTAATCATTAGATGTAAAATTTCACACAGATAACCAAAAATTATTATATTCTATGTCACGCATTCATCTCAATGTATTTTATTTTTTACATGCTCCTAAAATAGCAAAAAGGTCTGATAAATGGACAAAGCTGACTAGGGACAAAGGTATGAAGAAATATTTGCAAAGTTCACAGAAATGCTCACAAAAAAGGAAAGGTGTCAGAACCCTGTCAAACATGTACACCTTACAATGATTCCACAGACCAAAAATCATTAACCTATTTCTATGTAGAAACGACAAACTATTAGCTGTTGACAAATGCTAGAAGAAATAGTTTCAATAATTTTTTTTTCAAATTTTCCCACAATCATAATTATGTTCCAAGTGATAAAATTTAACTATAGTACAATGCAAATAATCAGCTACTTAAAACGTGAGAAGACAGACAATTTGACGACTTATATCTTAATACCACTTCATACTTAAGATGTAAGATGAATTATTTTCCACCAGACTCATCAAAGAAAAAGTTTGATTCTAATATTCTAATGATCTCTAATAAAGAAATGTATATCAAGTGGATGAGACAAAGGGAGACAAATGTGTACTTTGCAAGTCATCAGCTACAACTCTTTTACTTTTCAAAAACATTTCAAAACATGGTCCATCAAAGTCCATAATACTAATAATACAGGTGTCATTTACATAACTGTAACGATAGTTGTTTATTTAGCAATATCCCTAATGTCCACTTAGATTAATTAGGACTATCATAAGATAAAGTTTTGATATCTAAAATTGACTTTCCTTTAGAAATAAAGTTGTTTTGCGGTAAAGATCTGTCGCCTGTAAAACCAAGGAGTCCTTGGTAAAACCGATGTTTTAAATCATTCATCTACATATCCTAATGACATACATTCATGTATGGTCTTCATATTCGTGTTCGGATTTCCTTGAAATATTCGCGGTCGTTTTATTTTCACGTTTCAACTCTTACTGTGAAAATAGCGAAAATAAAACTGCCGCGAAAATTTCCCTGTTTACAGTATACAAATTTCATGAATATACCTGGATTTTTATAGTTTGTTCTTATGTTGTGCTATTACACTACTGTCCCAGGTCAGGGGAGGGTTGAGCGCTCACAAACATGTTTAACCCCTCCACATTCTTTATGTGCCTGTCCCAAGTCAAGAGACTGTAGTTCAGTGGTTGTCGTTGGTTCACGTCTGTCATATTTGTTTTTTGTATATTGTTTTGTTATAAATTAGGCCGTTATTTTTCTCAATTGAATTATTTCATATTTTTCATGTCCGGGCTTTTTATAGCGAACTATACGGTATGGGTTTTTCTCATTGTTGAAGGCCATACGGTGCCTATAATTGCTTACATCCACTTTATTTGAACTTTGGTGGATAGTTGTCTCATTGGCAATCATACCACATCTCCTTATTTTTATATTGGTCCTGCGTCAATAATATTAATGATAGGCTTCAGATAACTCATTATGATTTTCATATTGAATGTTAAAAAAATAGTTCTTGTTAATTATCTCCCAACACTTATTGGTATTATAGTGTATATTTTACACTTTTAATATCTCCAATTACCAACAAGATATTACCAGAGTAATTAACATTAGGAAAACGACTAAATATTCCAAACCTTAAAAATATGACCAATTACAATCAGGCATTGACAGTGCTGGCCATATTTCTTGTTAAATTTGAAGAATAGAATAAACACATATACATTATTTTGGGCAAGTTTAGGAATACATTATTTTGGGCAAGTTTAGGAATACATTATTTTGGACAAGTTTAGGAATACATTATTTTGGGCAAGTTTAGGAATACATTATTTTAGGCAAGTTTATGAAATTTTCCAATAAGAAAGAAACAACATATCTTTATAAAGGTTCAAAATGGTCTCATAGTTTTAAACAAGTTAAACGAATTGTGAAAATTTTAAAAGGGTAACAGATACCTAGTGATGGCAATATTTTTGTCCCAAGTTACTGTATGTTTATAGTTGTATTTTGACATCAAATTAAAAAGGGTTTGATGATGATCCAGTTTCTAGTTAAAATTTGGATTAAATAGCTATTATTGCATTTATAATTGTTAAAAAAATGATATTCAGTTTCTTGAACCGTCTGCAATTTGCCTAATTATGATCGAAATCCCCAAGATTTTGTCAAATTTTGAGAATGTAAATGGCATGCTCAACAAAGATAATTCTATTTCAGTTTTATGAACATTTATGCAAATTTTTTATCATGAACTAGTCTACTTAAAATTGGGGTCAAATATGGCCATTAACACACCCTTTGTTTCTAAATCATGAATTCATCAATATCAAATTCTTAAAGTTATGTGACAATTATTATAAGGAGCTTCAAAATATTTTTGAGATTTTTAATGAAAATCAGGGTAAAATAAGTTCAAAATATCTTTTTGATAATTTATAGATTTAAACAAAATGTATACTAGAAAAAAAAAAAAAAGAAAAAAGAATGACTTTTGTCCACATACCATATTATAAAAAAACAAAAATTGTATAAGTAATCTGCTCTCTTTCAGCATCAGTATTTTATACCAGTTTACCTTTTCAGATAATATTTATATAATAAACAGGAAAAACTCAAGGTTTTAACTTACACTTGATCACAGTGATAATTGTGTTAATTTAAAAATAAAATAATGGATCTTAATGTATGGCATTTAAAGATCAAAACAAATCAGACTTAGAATAACAAAACAGAAATTGGAATCCTGAAAAAATGCTTCAATACAGCTATCTAGTACAAGTAAAATGAAAAAAGAAAACAACTGCTTGTATATCAAAATTGTGCTCCTATGACTGAATAAGAAAACATTTATAAATGGATTTATTTGAGAACAGACATCCACAGTAATATAAGTACAGTGTCATTAAGTAACTTAAACTTATTAAATGTATATTACTATGTTAATAAAACAGACTTTCTTGGAAATATTATGCTGAAGACAGGCTTAAATTTAAAACAACAAATTTAAAATAATTCATATCTTACCTTATAGTGAGTTAATTATAAATTCTGAAATCATGTGACATTGGACAAATTAAATATTATTTACTAGATAGCCAATATATCTATTATCTAAATAACCCACTAATGAGGAAAGATAAAAATTTCACCTTGTCTTTCTAAGTGAATATCACAAATAAACAAGAGAGGCTGGTGTAAATAAATACAAATGACATTTAGTTATTATTAAGGATTGGCCAAGTCTAGGTTTTATTTCAACAGTAAATCCTTGTTTTAATAAAAAACAATTTTTTTTATCACTTTTTTAAATAATAGACTGTGAAATGGATGTTTGTTGAGTATAAACAAGTTTCTAATGCTCTTTTAGACAGAACTTACTTTGTTTAGGACCATATTAACTCAAAAAACATTCTCATCATTGTGAAAACCGTAGCGCAGAAATAACAATTCATATACCAGTTCCCTTAATTTGCACAGTTATGGCCAGGTTCATGTTTAGCTATGGGAAACTCTTAAAATAACACAGACCAAAAGTTCAAATAAGAGGTGCTTATGCCTATAAGTATTAAAGATTATCTGGATATATCATTGAAATTCAGTCACTCAGGTTGTAGGAGTTGCAGTTGGACAAAGGAACTTGCATAGGAATGGACACAACAATCACTATCCCCTCTAAGCAGGTTTCACTAAGAAGGGGATACAGATACAGGGTAGGTTGACAAAGGAACTTGCATAGGAATGGACACAACAATCACCATCCCCTCTAAGCAGGTTTCACTAAGAAGGGGATACAGATACAGGGTTGGTTGACAAAGGAACTTGTATAGGAATGGACACAACAATCACTATCCCCTCTAAGCAGGCTTCACTAAGAAGGGGATACAGATACAGGGTTGGTTGACAAAGGAACTTGCATAGGAATGGACACAACAATCACTATCCCCTCTAAGCAGGCTTCACTAAGAAGGGGATACAGATACAGGGTTGGTGGACAAAGGAACTTGCAAAGGAATGGACACAACAATCACTATCCCCTCTAAGCAGGCTTCACAAAGAAGGGGATACAGATACAGGGTTGGTGGACAAAGGAACTTGCATAGGAATGGACACAACAATCACTATCCCCTCTAAGCAGGCTTCACTAAGAAGGGGATACAGATACAGGGTTGGTGGACAAAGGAACTTGCATAGGAATGGACACAACAATCACTATCCCTTCTAAGCAGGCTTCACTAAGAAGGGGATACAGATACAGGGTTGGTTGACAAAGGAACTTGCATAGGAATAGACACAACAATCACTATTCCTTCTAAGCAGGCTTCACAAAGAAGGGGATACAGATACAGGGTTGGTGGACAAAGGAACTTGCATAGGAATGGACACAACAATCACTATCCCCTCTAAGCAGGTTTCACTAAGAAGGGGATACAGATACAGGGTTGGTGGACAAAGGAACTTGCATAGGAATAGACACAACAATCACTATTCCTTCTAAGCAGGCTTCACTAAGAAGAGGATACAGATACAGGGTTGGTGGACAAAGGAACTTGCAAAGGAATGGACACAACAATCACTATCCCCTCTAAGCAGGTTTCACTAAGAAGGGATACAGATACAGGGTTGGTTGACAAAGGAACTTGCATAGGAATGGACACAACAATCACTAACCCCTCTAAGCAGGCTTCACTAAGAAGGGGATACATATACAGGATTGGTTGACAAAGCAACTTGCATAGGAATGGACACAACAATCACTATCCCCTCTAAGCAGGCTTCACTTAGAAGGGGATACAGATACAGGGTTGGTTGACAAAGGAATTTGCATAGGAATGGACACAACAATCACTATCCCCTCTAAGCAGGCTTCACTAAGAAGGGGGTACAGATACAGGGTTGGTTGACAAAGGAACTTGCATAGGAATAGACACAACAATCACTATCCCTTCTAAGCAGGCTTCACAAAGAAGGGGATACAGATACAGGGTTGGTGGACAAAGGAACTTGCATAGGAATGGACACAACAATCACTATCCCCTCTAAGCAGGCTTCACTAAGAAGGGGATACAGATACAGGGTTGGTTGACAAAGGAACTTGCAAAGGAATGGACACAACAATCACTATCCCCTCTAAGCAGGTTTCACTAAGAAGGGATACAGATACAGGGTTGGTTGACAAAGGAACTTGCAAAGGAATGGACACAACAATCACTATCCCCTCTAAGCAGGTTTCACTAAGAAGGGATACAGATACAGGGTTGGTTGAAAAAAGAAACTGGCCCAGGAATGGACACAAACAACAATCCTATCAAGCAAGGGAAACTCAAGTTACCATCTGTAAAACATTTGTTTTAAAATATTTTCTATTTTTAGTAGCTGTGAATGGACCATTGACCTATTGATCTCAAAAGCAATAGGCTTCTTCCCCTTCCCTCTATCTTCTGACAGTATAAGTTTCATTTCAACCAAGCAAGGGATACTCAAGTTATCACCTGGAAACCATTTGTTTTGGATACAGACAGAATGAGGGATGAACAAAGTGATTATTCAATATACTCCCACATTTTTTTCTGTAAGCATAACAAACATAGACAAACAATAGTCAAGAAAACACCAAAACATAAATATTGAGCAAATGAACCCAGACAAAAACTTAAACAATTATAAGTTTCTGTTCCATCAGTAAAATATGCAGTGTCATTCATAGAAAAATCTGGTTATAATGGTCAACCAAATCTTGATGATATTTGTAAAAGAGAGGCGGAAGATACCAAAGGGAAACTTATTGACAAATGCCATGGCGAAAAAAAACCCCGAAATACGATCAAATGACAACCAACAGTATACAAAACACAACATAGAAAACTAAAGACTGAGCAACACGAACCCCAACACAAACTGGGGATAATCTCAGATGCTCCATAAGGGTAAGCAGATCCTGCTACACATGTGTACTTCAGTAGGTCACCTTGAAAGAAAAGAGTACGGGATTGTGGTTACGACAATTGGAACATTTCTGTCATCATCTGTGAAACAGATATTCAATAAATGTAAACCTACTAATAATGGCGTCCGAGTTTTTTTTTGAAGAGATTACTTCAACTTCACTACTTGCAACTCTTGGTTTAATAGACTTCGATTTAACAGGAGTAGTAGTTTTCTTGTTAGCAGCATTTCCATATTAAGGAAATCCTGAAAGGAAACCAAAGCTTTGAAATATCATATTAACTTGGTGATATATACTCCAAATGCAGATGGTTGGAAATGTTCATTCATAAAAAAAAAGAGGGAATGAGTCATAAAGTGAAGTTCCCAATTGAAACTTACTCATTTTCAAAGTGTAAGTCAAGGTATGAAGTCGACCTTATGGTATTTCTGCTATCCTTTAGTTCAATGAGATAAACAAGATCAAGGCAATCCATAACCTTCAAATTAAGTTGTGGATATTTTAACAGCTACAAAAAGCCTAAAAAAAATATTTTAATCAAATATTTCTGTTTTATAAAAATATGCACAAGAAATGGTTAATAATGCATAATATGAACACCTGTTTGAACATCCGAGGATATATTACATAATCTTATGTAAACTAACATTCACATACTGATATCTTATTTATCATTTATTTTTAATCATGTTATTAAGTTTTGACAGAATAACATTGAGTATTTGCAAGAGATAACTGAATATATCAACACCAGAATAAATCTATTGGGCCAGAAAGTTTTTTGTCTGAATTTAAAAGTTGGGTAAAATATTGTTTCAAGAGAACAATCAACATGCATGTTCTACTATCATTGAATTAAAACTGAAGCCACTTTTATGTCACATTAGTTAAGTTAGGTTGTCTGTCATTTGTCAACTATTATACAAATACTAGTACCCAATAAGAATAAGATAAGATAAGATAAATTTTATTTCCAATAGAGGACCCATTATAGGCATAATCAGTACATTGATTTTTTTTATCACACAAATGCAATAGACAATACACAAGAAAATAAAAAATAAAAAATAGAAATACAACTGACATAAAACATGAATTATAAATTGAGTTAATAATACATGTAGTCACATAAACCAGTATGTTAAGTGTTTTTTGACCATGCACCAGAAGCAGCATCACATCCATTATAGAAAAAGCTTTTGAGTTAAGTCCTTCAATATATTGATGAATTGATTAAAACTATTGGATGCTAAATTTCAGTGAAACAAATGCATACAACAAATACGAATATTCAAAAAGAATTTGAACATATTCTTTCTTAGTCAACAAAAATATTTACATACAATTTTATCTTATTAGGGTCTATCTTCTAGTAGAATTTTTCTTTTGAAGAAGACTGCTACTTGCCATACTATGACAGAAATATAATATTTTCTTATAACTTCCATTGATTCAACAATGATAGAACGAAATAGTGACATTAAAGTTAACAGCAATGTCATCATAGTCAATGGATTCACATAATTTCTTGAAATTTAAATATTAATTTAAAAAACTCTTCATACAAAAAGTAATATAATTCTGGTCTGATTTTAGCATTTTCTACCCCTAAAATTACATTCTTTTTTTCATGAAATGTTTACTATATGATCAATTGCTGTAGCTTTAATAATGTCTGTTGGATATCTAAGTACAATTATCTATATTTGATAATGCAGAGAAAATATTTTTGTATACAATGTGCCACTCCTAATAAACTAAATAAATACAAATTATAATTACCTTTATACTACATATGACCTGCATTTGGTAAATCCCTCTTGTAAAATGTTCATCATTTTAGAAGACCACTTGAGTTTGTAAAAGTAATTGCCACTTGTTGACTTCTTAACTATAAACCAATCAGGAAACTTAGGGAAGAATCAAATATCATCTTCACATTATTAACTATTACGTCTTTAGCTTATGTAAATGTCATATTTACACCAACTTCTCAATCTGAAAAATATATATACCATTATTTGCAGAACAAAACATGTTGTATAGCTGTAAGTCAAAGTACTTTACAATATAGAATCATTGATGACATTTAGTTACCTCTATGCTTATTTAAACACTATTCAGTATTTACCAGTCATTATAATTTCAAAATGTATCTTCACTTACGCAATAAAATTAGACCAATGAAATCTGATAAGGATTCACCTTACCACATATGGTTACATGTCTGTCTAAAGTCAGCAAATTTTGTTACCAGTTGTCATCTGTAAAACATTTACTCTTGTATGCACACCTGCAGTCTACTTTGTTGAATTGTTTCACAGCTGATTGCCAACTGTAGCCTCTTATTGGTATTTGTAAAGTCAATCCACCTCCTCCTTGAGACAGGTAGGTCTTTGTGTTTATATGATATTTTTAATTTTTTATGCTAAATTCCATAAATAAAGGCAACAGTAGTATACCATAAACTATATTTCCAAAACACAGTTTCAATGAACAGTTGGGGCCTCTATGGCTGATTGGTCTAAGTATTTCATCTAAAGTGATTACTAACAGTCAACACTGAGATTGTGAGTTTGAAACCTGTTTTAGGCAAGGTGTGTTTGACTCTGATCTTAATTGTACTATGATTGGCAGTGATTCTGTTGAAGGTCAGTGGTTCTCTTTCGGTACATTACTCCAGCTTCCTCCACCAATAAATATTGACCACCATGATATACCATAGTAGCCAAGTGTGCTGAAAGTGGAGTTAAACACCAACAATCAATCAATCATCAATGAACAGGATGACTACATGATATTCCCATTCTAAAGCAAAAATAATTTTAAAATTTCAGATACAGTGTGAACAGGGTATAACAAATCTGTAATGGCTAAAGATAAAATCACAAAAATAAAAAAAAGCATCTGTTATACATCTAAGTACTGTGTAAAAAAATGTTCCCTTGTAGCCATAAAAATAGAGAAGGAACATGCTTTCATGTCACAGTATACTGTACAATTTTCTCAAAGTTTGAACAAAGCTAACTTGAATTATGATTGTAGCAAAATGTCTATTTTTCCAGTTGACATAGGGTAAAAAAAGTATACTTGTTGGATGTACATTAAGAAATATATCTAATGAAATACCACATATTACCAATTTATTTTAAGGCACTTAATGATGTTGCTCATCCTGACAATTGCTAGGTCTTCAATGATTGGCTGATAAGCTTTCACCTTGCAGGAGGATTAGGCTGTAATTCATAAAAAATGAAATGAAGCTGGTCATGAAACCAAACATTTATTTAGAGATTTAATAAAAGAAATGTGAAACATGCTAAAACAGGAAAGTACTATAGATGGATAAGCAAACATTTGTATCTAATAAAAAATCCAATCTTGAATGGGAAATTTAATTATGTGAAAACATACCAAAGTATTTGGATATACATTATCATGTTATACTACACTGGAGATTAAAAGACTGCCATAGTTATTTGCTTATAAGTTCAGTGCAGAAAGTTAAAGAAAAATTCGTAAGGGTTCCACGGAACCCAGTGTCTCGCCTACTTTTTCTGTTAATCGCAGGCTCTACAAAAAATGAGGAAGTAAATCAATAAAAATATTCCACTTGATGCTATCTTTTGATTGTAAGAAGCTTCAGTCCAAGTTTGGTAAAAATCCAGGATAGTTTATGAATCTAATAAATGTTTAAACACTTTAACTGCAGACTGAATGTAATTTTATCTGGAAGAAAACAAAATTTCCTTCTAGATACTAGCATTTGATCATAAACAAGCTTCTGTCCAAGTTTGATACAAATCCAAAATAGTATAAGAAAGTTATTAAAATTTTAAAAACTTTAACCACAGAGTGAATGTGTTGTTTCCTGGCAAAAAATCTAAGTCCATTTAAAAGTAAAATACGGAAAAAATAGATTTATTTTTTTACAAAATTTCCTTCTAGATACTAGCTTTTGATCATAAACAAGCTTCTGTCCAAGTTTGGTACAATTCCAAAATAGTATAAGAAAGTTATTAAAATTTTAAAAACTTTAACCACAGAGTGAATGTGTTGTTTCCTGGCAGAAAATCTAAGTCCATTTAAAAGTAAAATAAGGAAAAAATGCATTTATTTTTTTACAAAATTTACTTCTGAATAATATCTTATGATCATAAACAAGCTTCTGTCCAAGTTTGGTACAAACCCAGGATAGTTTAAGAAAGTTATTAAAATTTTAAAAACTTTAACCACAGAGTGAATGTAATATTTCCCGGCAGAAAAACTAAGTCCATTTATAGGTAAAATACGGAAAAAATAGAATTTTATTTTTACATTATTTACTTCTGGATACTATCTTATGATCATAAACAAGCTTCTGTCCAAGTTTGGTAGAAATCCAGGATAGTTTAAGAAAGTTATTAAAATTTCAAAAACTTAAACCACAGAGTGAATATTTGTGGACGCCGCTGACGACGACGGAATGTAGGATCGCTATGTCTCGCTTTTTTGACTAAAGTCGAAGGCTCGACAAAAAGCAATACCTAGGCATATAGGTTGTCCCATTTTCTTATAAATAAAGCAGAAATTAAGATTTCCATAAAACCGTGTTCACATATCAAAAACATAACATTTAAATTCTTACCTGTTTGATTGATATATTACATGTACATCTTTTGAAGGAAGTTCAGACACCTGCGTTGACAATGACTGCAGGATGTATCCAAACTTCTCGTAGGTTAAATATCTAGACAAATACAGGTACTTTTTAACTTTCACACACATTTTTGATGGTGTAAGTTGAAAATGCATAACTCTGCTTCCTCAAAGATCCATCTCTTTATCTCTTTTTATTTGTGTAACATTTTTCTATCGTTAATCTTTTCCTTTCAGGATTACTTTCCAAATAGAAAATTTAATCGGAACACGTTACACATTTTTCAATGTAAACTTGAGGCTATAAGTATAACCACAGCTGTATGCTATATCATCTTGTCTTTACTTGGACTATTCCACTTATATATTAGTCCTAGATCTTGACTTCTAATAAAAAGTTTTATTTCCAAAAAATATCACTGCAAAATTAAGTCCCTTGTTATAGATTGACCTCTTGGCATCCAATATAAGGAATGTTTTTTGTATGATTTTTTGTCTAGGAACCAATCGTTCAATATCCTGTGTTAATGCTTAGCAATTATTGTTTTTGTTTGAATGTTTCCTAAAATTCAGGGGTCGATGTCAAGCAAAGTACTTCTCTCTAACCTTCAGTCATATTAGTTGATTGGAGCCAGTTGATTGACGGCTACATATATGCCAGTAGACTAAACTGAACTATGGTTGCTGAACAAACTTTAGACTGTGATTGTTATGTATATCTTCTGCGTTGTTATTTGATGTTGTTTTGTACATGAATTACTTTCACTGATGCTATTGTGCTGTGTATATGTATTTAATGTAAAGTCTATACAGATAAAGTCATTGTTATTGTTAACCTCCAGGGGCTGCCAATAGTTTACTATTTGGGCTGTTAGGAAGAATTTCTCTAGGTGTTCAATGCTCAAAGTTTTCTGCTTGCTGACTATACAGCCTATAGGTAACAAAGAAAAACTTCATAAGAAATCTTTATTTAATTTCCATTCAGCTAAGTACAGCAATAGTTCCATGCCTCTTTTTTTTAAACGGTATACATTAGTACAATTTCAGGATGGTTTTATTGCACAAACATTTATATTAGGTGATTAATTCATACAAATACTGATTTTTAATGGCTGAACGATTCATCATATGTTTCCAATAGGTGTTTAAGCAACCCAAGAATAGAATTATTTGCTGCTATTATCTAATTCAATGAACACCATTTCTACACATGTATGTGTGTGTACTTGTGTTAAAAGAAGTCACAAATTTTATAAATTCAAAAAATTGTGGCAATCACATTTACCAAAAAGATGTAAAAATGTGATTGTCACTTGCTTTCATTAAGTATAAATTATAAAAAAAAAATTGCATTCAATCATATATAGTAACAACTCTTTGCTCAGTAAGTAGGTGGCTTGTTGAAAAGGCAAAAATATTGGCCTTTTCTAATAATTTCCAGTGGCACTCCAAAATTTTTGAAACTGCTTGCTCAGGTCTACCTACTGCAGAACTCTTTTTGATTTATTGTTTTATTGTTTTATTTGTTCAAATCCTGAATATATATGTAAGAAAAATCCCCAACTTAAATGAGTAACTTACATTCATAACAATTTGACAGGATAACTGTCACCTTATCATATATATATATATAAGTGGAGAAAGACCCTGAAAAAACTCAAACCATTATAATTAATAGATTTGTACAGCCAGATACACATCAGCTTTGTAAACCAACCTAGCATCCAACATTGTTACTTGTATTTTAACATGTTGTTTTCTGTAATCACTTCAAAGTTATTTTTTATTATCAAAATATTTATCTTTAAGTTTTAAGAAAATGTTGTTTACTTTCCCCATATTAATTAAGTAAATACCAATTCAGATAACAGTTGTATAGAATAGATTATCTTGATATATAGGTTACTGTGCATCTGTCAAACGTCAATGGGGCAAAGTTCTTCTGAATCATATAATAATATAGTGACTATTATACTTATCATACACACCACGATGACTTATATGATGCAATTCAACACGATAAGTGTGAAATCACCTATCACAGATTTTTTATTACTCTTTGAAAATCCATTTTCATTTTTTTACCCAAATTATAGGTAAAGTTTATACCAAGTGTAAACAACAATATCAAAATTAAAACTTAAAAGATTAGAAAGAGAACTATCCACCAAAGACCAAAGGATGAGGATGTAAACAACCAGAGGTCACTATTGGTCCTTCAACAATGAGCAAAACCCATACCATTAGGTAAGCTACAAAATGCTATCACTGTCCCAGGTTAGGGGAGGGTTGAGTGCTCACAAACATGTTTAACCCGCCACATTCTTTATAGTGCCTGTCCCAAGTCAGGAGCCTG